GGAGAACCAGTGTCCTCCCTTTCTGATGGAGTGTTTCTTATGCCTCACCAATGAAAAATTCACTAAAGGGATGGTTAAATTTTAGCCTGTAGCTAAGTCCTGTAGTCACATAGCCAGAGGTCTGGAATCTGGCGGTCTTGTAGCCTTAAGAAGGTGGGTGCCACTGGGCAAACACAATGTCATCTGGGTAATTTGTTCAGTCTCAAGGATGACTGTGGTTATATTATTTGTGAGGTCAACATAATGAGCCATTTCAACCATAAGCCCCCATGGAGGCCCTATCATTCCAGCCTTTCTGATTTGGGATAAGGGCCGAAGGTCAATCTTCCATAACTGCTTCCTGTGGGACAGGGGTGTCGTGGGGGTAAGAGAATAAAAGGCTGGAATGTGAGTCAAGGGGATTTGTGTGGGGATGAAATTTTTGATAATTTGAATGAGTTACAAGTAGCTAATGGATAATTTGGTTGGTGAAGGCATGTAAGTGGTCCTGAAGAAATTTTGAAAAAGATTCATTAAACATGGGTCAAAAGTTAGAATAAGGCTAAGAAGGAGAGGGCCTAGAAGTTAGGACCCAGGGTATCCAATTCCAATTGCTTAGCCAGTTTTCCCATGAATTACTGAGGTGTTGACGTATTCTGGGGGCCCTGTTTGTCAGATTTCTTCCTGCTTCCTTTACAATGCCTGATTTGTTGGCAGAGTAGCAGCAAGCTTCCTCCAAAAATAGACATAGGCCTCTTTTTTCTGCTGTGAGGTCTAACCTTCTGTTTTGGAGGACCATGGCTGCCAGAGAACCTAGCTGGTTTGGGACAGTGATAAGGCTAGTAGTTATTTCTTCCAGGTTCTCAGTGAGGTCTTCAAAAAGGATTTGGTAGTAATTTAAAGAGGTTGTGAGTGAAGTCAATTTTCCAGCCCTCTCCTGGGACATATCCTCGTGTTGGGAATGAGGGAATAGGCCTTAGGGCTCCCTGCGGTGAGACTGAAGAGCAGATAATGCAAGAGTGACTGATTTGTTTTAGGAGTGAGAAGGTTAGGTGATAAGAAGTCTTAAGAGATGATAAAGAGGTTTAGTGCCTAAGTGTAGGGCCTGATGAATGTTTGTAAGAATCTGTGTGGACTGAAATTGGGGAAGGACATAGTGGCCCTGTTTTTGTAACCAATCTCTTTGTGGATGGGCTCCCTCTTATAATAATCAAGTTTTTTTTCTTCAGGGAGGTAAAGTGGCTTTATGTTGGGGATTACTATGAATTGTTGAGCCAGTGATAGGAGTGAGGCTTGTTTTGCTTCCCTGTCTGTAGCATTTGTTGTCCTGTGAAATGCAGTCTGAGGCTGCCTAGTCACCTCGGCAATGTATGATGCCTACTTCAGTTGACATGTTAGCTGCCTTTAAAAGCTGGAGTATAAGCAGGGTGTTAGTTATGGGAGAACCTTTAGTAGATAGGAGCCCTCATTCTTTCCAGATAGCATCATGAGTGTATGATGTGGAAAGTATATTTAGAGTCAGTGTATGTTTGCTCTCTTGTTAGCTGCCAGGGTAAGTGCTCTAGTCAGTGCAGTAAGTTCTGCCTTTGGTAAGATGTTCCTGAGGGGAGAGCTTGGGATTCAATAGTTTCAGTGCCAGAGACAATTGCATATTCAGGTAACTTTTTTCCTTCTGATTTTGTAGATAAGCTGCCATCAATATACCAAGTAAAGTCAGGGTTATTTAAAGGGATTGAGGAAATGTGGGAGAAATGGGGCTTTTTTTTTTTTGCCTCTTTGCAAGTATGGATGGGGGGCACAGAAGAATTAGGGATAAGAGTGGCAAGGTTGAGAGTATGACAGTGTTCAAGGGAGAAGTGGGGAGATTCAAGAAGGGTAACATTAATTAGTTGAACATGTGAAGCAGACAGAAGGGTCATGGATTTGTAAGAGAGTAAGTCCTTAAAGTCATGTGGTTAATGAATGACAGTGGGTGGTTCAAAAGTAATTTTCTTATTTTCCTGAGCAAGGAGTGCTGCTGCTGCCAGAGCACATAGGCAGGCTGGCCATCCTTGAATTGTGGTATCTAATTGCTTTGATAGATAAGTAACAGGGGTGATGGAGGGGCCCTGATTTTGTCCCAAAACTCCTAGCACAATTTTGTCTATCTCAATAGTGTAAAGGGGTGAGAAAGATCAGGAAGTGTTAGTGCTGGGGCTGAAAATGACTTGCTCAAGGGTGTTAAAGCCTGAACGAATATTTGATTTTAGCTCTAAGGTTTATGGAAGACCCCCTAGGGTGGCTTGATATATGAGGACAAAATTGGAAATCCAGAGGCATAGATATCCAGCTAACCCCAAGCAGGACAAGATCTGTTTTTGATAAAGGGAATGATAGGGTGGATATAAGGAACTTTCTACCAGTAGTTAATATATCTTTGAGTTAATGATAAAAGGACTCCAAGATAGGTGACTCTAGGAAGAGAGAACTGAACCTTGGTGGGAGATACTAAGTAGCCCTGACTGGCTAAAAATTGAGGAGTTGTATAGTAGTTGTTGAGAGTGTGTAAGTGAAGGACTACAAAGGAGATCATCCACATATTGGAGGACAGTACTCACAGAGTAAGATCAAGAGAGGCTGATGCTGGAGCTTGGCCAAAGAAATAAGGACTATCATGAAAGCCTTGTGGGAGGACTGTCCATATCAGCTGTTGGGAGCAGTGATGGTCTGGATTGGTCCAGATAAAGGCAAAGAGGTCTTGAGAGTCTGGGTGTAAAGGGATGGTAAAGAAGGCATTCTTGATGTCTAGAACAGTGAAGTGGGTATTGGAGGAGGAAATGAAAGAGAAGAGCATAAGGATTTGGAACTACTGGGTATATGGGGACAACAGCCACACAGATAAGTCTCAGGTCCTGGACCAGGCGATAGGAGTCATTTGGCTTTTTCAGGGGTAAGATAGGGGTGTTATAGGGAGAGTGGGTTGGGCGCAAGAGGCCATGGCATAGGAGTTTAGTGACAACAGGCTTAAACCCTTGTTGATATTTTTAGGAGATGGGGTATTGTGGTCGATTGGGGAAATTTAGAGGGGTCTTTAAGATGGATATGAGTTGGGAGCATGGTGAGAAGTTGTATACCAAACTATGGGGTTTATGGATAGATGTCAGCTGGGAGGAGGAGGAGGAGGTGGGGTTGAGGACCAGTAGCCAGTTTAAGATCAGAGGGTGGGTTTGGGATAGTAATAGAGGCTTTGAATTTTGAGAGGTCTCTCCCAAGAATAGGAGTGGGGCATTTTGGGAGTATGAGAAAAGAATGAGAAAATAGGGTATCTTGAAGAGTGTAAGGTAGAGGCTCAGTTATTTACGGCATAGACACTAAACTGTCAACCCCTATAAGATACCTGAGGGTCCTTGGTTTTTCCAGAGTAGGTAGGCATAGTAGAGTAAGTGGCCCCCATGTCGATGAGAAAAAGAGATCGGCTTACCTGTCACTGTGAGAGCTACCCTGGGCTCCGCAGAGGTGATGAGAACGAAGGTGATAGCTTATTTGCACCACAGCATGTGAGATGCTTGTTTCCCGCCCAGGTAACAGACCTACATTCCCCACACTGAAAGGGACCTGGTGACCCAGGTGTCACCATGGACTGAATTGTGTATGTGTCTAAATATGTTCTGTGATCAACAACTCTGAGCTTTGCTCTAGAGACAAGACATGATAGATACAGGCAGAAGGCAATCCCCAACTATTCCCCTTACTTTTTCCATTACCTCTGATAATGATAAAATTGATTTCCAAATTCCCAAAGTTTATGGGGTTTCTATCCAGTGTGGATGATAAAGAGTGAAAAATTGGTGAGTCTTGTCTGAAATTTATTACACTCAAAAGTATTCTCTTCTATGTTGAGTTCAAAAATGTTTAGTATGGGACCTCCCTGGTTGTCCAGTGGTCAAGACTCTGCCTTCCAATGCAGAGGGCATGGGTTTGATCCTTGGTCAGAGAACTAAGGTCTCATCTGCTGCAGATGCAGTCAAATATTAAAAATAAAATGCTAAGTATGATAGGAGGAATCAGCAAGAGCTTTCCCACATTTGTCACATTTCAGTGGCTTCTTTTCCAGTGTCATTGTCTATAGAAAGTAAGCACTGAGGAGCAAAAAATGTTTACCCACGTTCCTTACACAAATATGGTTTCTCTCCAGTGTGACTTTGCTTGTGTGCAGTAACAGGCAAAGAAGTGGTAAATGTTTTCCCATGTACATTACCCAAAAGGCTTCTCTCCAGTGTGCATTCTAAAATGTTTAGTAAGACATGAGGAATCAGCAAAGGCCTTCCCAGATTTGTCACACTTAAAAGCCTTCTCTCCCGTGTGTGTTGTCCTATGTCGAGTAAGGCCTGAGCATTCAGTGAAGGCCTTTCCACATGTGTCACACTTAAAAAGCTTCTCTCCAGTGTGTTTTTTCATATGTTTAGCAAGCTATGAGCATCAAGTGAAGACCTTCCCACATGTCACACCTATAAATCTTCTCTCCAGTTTTCATATGTTGAGTACGGTATGAGGATAGAGTGAAGGTTTTTCCACATGTGTCACACTTAAAAAGCTTCTCTCCCATGTGTATTTTCATATGTCTAGTAAGAACTGAGACTTGCGTGAAGACTTTCCCACATCTGTCACATTTAGCAGTCTTCTGCCCAGTATGAGATCGTAAATGTCTAAAAAGATTACGAGAAGACACAAAGCCTTTCCCACATGTGTCACACTTAAAAGGCTTCTCTCCAGTGTGCATTTTCAAATGTATAATAAGGCGAGAGGGGCAAGTGAAGGTTTTCCCACATTCTTGACATGTAAGGTTTTACTCCAGTGTGAATTTGACTGTGAACATAAAGGTGTGATGATGATCCAAAAGCTTCCCCACATTCCTTACATTTATAGGGTCGCTCTCCAACATAAGTGTTCATATGTTCAATAAGGTGTGAAGGGAGAGTGAAGGTTTTCCCACATTCCTGACATTTGTAAGGTTTTATTCCAGAGTGAATTCAACTCTGAACATGCAGGTGTGAGGACGCTCCAAAGGCTTTCCCACATTCCTTACATTCATAGGGTTTCTCTCCAGTGTGAGTTTTCATATGTTCAATGAGGTCTGAGGATTGATGGAAGTCTTTCCCACATTCTTTACATTTATAGGGTTGCTTGCTTTCTAGTATTAGTTTTCATATGTCCAGTGAAGTGTGAGGATACAGAGAAATCTTTCCCACATTCCGTACATTTGTAAGGTTTTATTCCAGTGTGAAATCGACAGTGAACATGAAGGTATGAAAACAATCTAACGGCTTTTCCACATGTGTCACACTTAAAAGGTTTCTCTCCAGTGTGTGTTCTTATATGTTGAGTAAGAACTGACATTTGAGTGAAAGTTTTCCGACATCTGTCACATTTAGCAGTCTTCTGCCCAGTATGGGATTGTAAATGTCGAAGATTACTGGAAAACCAAAGGCTTTCCCACATGCATTACACTTACAAGGCTTCTCTCTAGTGTATGTTCTCATATGTTGAGTAATTAGTGAAGAACAAGTGAAGGCTTTCCCACATCTGGCACTAAATGTGCAGTCTTCTGCCTTGTATGAGATAGTAAATGTCTAAGAAGATTACGAGAAGATGTAAAGACTTTCCCACATGCATCACACTTAAAAGGCTTCTCTCCAGTGTGCGTTTTCATACGTTCAATAAGGCAAGAGGGGAAAGTAAAGGTTTTCCCACATTCTTGACATTTGTAAGCTTTTATTCCAGTGTGAATTTGACTGTGAAAATGAAGGTATGACGATGACCCAAAAGCTTTCCCACATTCCTCACATTCATAGGGTTTCTCTCCAGTGTGAGTTTTCAGACGTCCAGTGAGGTCTGAGGATCGATGGAAGTCTCTCCCACATTCTTTACATTTATAGGGTTGCTTTCTAGTGAGTTTTCATATGTCCAGTGAGGTTTGAGGATACAGCAAAGTCCTTCCCACATTCCAGTGTGAAATCGACGGTGAGCATGAAGCAATGAGGACAACCTAAAAGCTTTTTCACATGTGTCACACTTAAAAGGTTTCTCTCCAGTGTGTGTTCTCATATGTGTAATATCTGGAGTCAGCCTGACAGCCTTTCCACACTGATTAAAGATGGGAGGATTTTTCCCCAGTAAAGGGTTTATTGTGTAGAGTATGGAAGCTCTTTCCATACTGATTATCTTCATAAAAATTCCTTCTATTTTCAGTGCTCCTCTGTGTCCTAAGGTAAAAGTGGTCACTGATGTCTTTCTCGTTTCGCTCAGTCATACAGTTCCTGTCCACTGTGACTTCATGTCTGTGGAAAAACCAATGGATGATGATTTAAAGCTTTCTCAGACTCATTAACTGATCCTACCCATCTCCAAACAGAAAGATGATTACAATGAAGATGATGATTTTTAACATCTTCATCACATTCATACAGTTCCTGCTCTGTTGATTTCTTTAAAGTTAAATGATGAAATCCTTCTGACACAATGAAATGCCATACTCTAATGGTAAAACAATTCATTGCAATTTCATTGAGTTGTTCTCAAAATTCAATGTCTAATTATATACGTGGGAATGATTTCTTGAGGAATTCTGATTCAACTATTTTGAACCTTGGGTTAGGATATCCCCAAATTGAACATAATCAAAATTTGTTGACAGACACTGCTATCTTTGGGGTAAATGCCACTCAAATATCTACCACTAGTGTTCATCTTGTAATGAAATCCCAATGTTAACTGAAAGGAAAATAAGAAATATTTCTTATGAACTTACTGATTATACCATTTGTACCCTATTTGATGTTTTTTCCCACAAAATATCCTGCTGAATTTCCAAGCCATTGGATTTGCATTTCCCATTCTAAAGTAAAGGAGAATAATAAATTTAAGACTGCAAAAAGAAGTGGATGTTACAGCAGTTAAAAACAATAAGGCTCATGTGAATAAATTTCCAAACTAAACATACCTTTTAAAAAGGCAAGACAGAAAAGAGGAGCTTCCAACATCACTCGTTATCAGAGAAATGCAAATCAAAACCACAATGAGGTACCATTACACACCAGTCAGGATGGCTGCTATCCAAAAGTCTACAAGCAATAAATGCTGGAGAGGGTGTGGAGAAAAGGGAACCCTCTTACACTGTTGGTGGGAATGCAAATTAGTACAGCCACTATGGAAAACAGTGTGGAGATTTCTTAAAAAGCTGGAAATAGAACTGCAATATGACCCAGCAATCCCACTTCTGGGCATACACACCGAGGAAACCAGATCTTTTTTTTTTTTTTTTTTTTTTTTGAGTTGGTTCCTACTGTGATAAATGGAAATCACCTCGCTTTCCCTGTATACCCACAGATGCATATAAAGAACTTTGTAAGGCATTTTTTATTTTTTTTATTTTATTTTTTTTTAAATTTTTTATCACAACCATAGTGTATCTTTTTTTTTTTTTTTTTACATGTATTCCCCATCCCGGTCCCCCCTCCCACCTCCCTCTCCACCCAATCCCTCTGGGTCTTCCCAGTGCACCAGGCACGAGCACTTGTCTCATGCACCCAACCTGGGCTGGTGAACTGTTTCACCCTAGATAATATACGTGTTTCAATGCTGTTCTCTTGAAACATCCCACCCTCGCCTTCTCCCAGAGTCCACAAGTCTGTTCTATACATAGGAGTCTCTTTTTCTGTTTTGCACATAGGGTTATCGTTACCATCTTTCTAAATTCCATATATATGTGTTAGTATACTGTAATGGTCTTTATCTTTCTGGCTTACTTCGCTCTGTATAATGGGCTCCAGTTTCATCCATCTCATTAGAACTGATTCAAATGAATTCTTTTTAATGGCTGAGTAATATTCCATGGTGTATATGTACCACAGCTTCCTCATCCATTCGTCTGCTGATGGGCATCTAGGTTGCTTCCATGTCCTGGCTATTATAAACAGTGCTGCGATGAACATTGGGGTACACGTGTCTCTTTCAGGTCTGGTTTCCTCAGTGTGTATGCCCAGAAGTGGGATTGCTGGGTCATATGGCAGTTCTATTTCCAGCTTTTTAAGAAATCTCCACACTGTTTTCCATAGTGGCTGTACTAATTTGCATTCCCACCAACAGTGTAAGAGGGTTCCCTTTTCTCCACACCCTCTCCAGCATTTATTGCTTGTAGACTTTTGGATAGCAGCCATCCTGACTGGTGTGTAATGGTACCTCATTGTGGTTTTGATTTGCATTTCTCTGATAATGAGTGATGTTGAGCATCTTTTCATGTGTTTGTTAGCCATCTGTATGTCTTCCTTGGAGAAATGTCTGTTCAGTTCTTTGGCCCATTTTTTGATTGGGTCATTTATTTTTCTGGAGTTGAGCTGGAGGAGTTGCTTGTATATTTTTGAGATTAATCCTTTGTCTGTTGCTTCGTTTGCTATTATTTTCTCCCAATCTGAGGGCTGTCTTTTCACCTTGCTTATAGTTTCCTTTGTTGTGCAAAAGCTTTTAAGTTTCATTAGGTCCCATTTGTTTATTTTTGCTTTTATTTCTAAAATTCTGGGATGTGGGTCATAGAGGATCCTGCTGTGATTTATGTCGGAGAGTGTTTTGCCTATGTTCTCCTCTAGGAGTTTTATAGTTTCTGGTCTTACATTTAGATCTTTAATCCATCTTGAGTTTATTTTTGTGTATGGTGTTAGAAAGTGTTCTAGTTTCATTCTTTTACAGGTGGTTGACCAGTTTTCCCAGCACCACTTGTTAAAGAGGTTGTCTTTTTTCCATTGTATATCCTTGCCTCCTTTGTCAAAGATAAGGTGACCATAGGTTCGTGGATTTATCTCTGGGCTTTCTATTCTGTTCCATTGATCTGTATTTCTGTCTTTGTGCCAGTACCATACTGTCTTGATGACTGTGGCTTTGTAGTATAGTCTGAAGTCAGGCAGATTGATTCCTCCAGTTCCATTCTTCTTTCTCAGGATTACTTTGGCTATTCGAGGTTTTTTGTATTTCCATACAAATTGTGAAATTATTCATTCTAGTTCTGTGAAAAATACCGTTGGTAGTTTGATAGGGATTGCATTGAATCTGTAGATTGCTTTGGGTAGTATAGCCATTTTGACAATATTGATTCTTCCAATCCACGAACACGGTATATTTCTCCATCTGTTTGTGTCCTCTTTGATTTCTTTCATCAGTGTTTTATAGTTTTCTATGTATAGGTCTTTTGTTTCTTTAGGTAGATATACTCCTAAGTATTTTATTCTTTTTGTTGCAATGGTGAATGGTATTGTTTCCTTAATTTCTCTTTCTGTTTTCTCATTGTTAGTGTATAGGAATGCAAGAGATTTCTGTGTGTTAATTTTATATCCTGCAACTTTACTGTATTCGTTGATTATCTCTAGTAATTTTCTGGTAGAGTCTTTAGGATTTTCTATGTAGAGGATCATGTCATCTGCAAACAGCGAGAGTTTCACTTCTTCTTTTCCTATCTGGATTCCTTTTACTTCTTTTTCTGCTCTGATTGCTGTGGCCAAAACTTCCAAAACTATGTTGAATAGTAGTGGTGAGAGTGGGCACCCTTGTCTTGTTCCTGATTTCAGGGGAAATGCTTTCAGTTTTTCACCATTGAGGGTGATGCTTGCTGTGGGTTTGTCATATATAGCTTTTATTATGTTGAGGTATGTTCCTTCTATTCCTGCTTTCTGGAGAGTTTTAATCATAAATGGATGTTGAATTTTATCAAAGGCTTTTTCTGCATCTATTGAGATAATCATATGGTTTTTATCTTTCAATTTGTTAATGTGGTGTATTACATTGATTGATTTGCGGATATTAAAGAATCCTTGCATTCAAGGGATAAAGCCCACTTGGTCATGATGTATGATTTTTTTAATATGTTGTTGGATTCTGTTTGCTAGAATTTTGTTAAGGATTTTTGCGTCTATGTTCATCAGTGATATTGGCCTGTAGTTTTCTTTTTTTGTGGCATCTTTGTCTGGTTTTGGAATTAGGGTGATGGTGGCCTCATAGAATGAGTTTGGAAGTTTACCTCCTTCTGCAATTTTCTGGAAGAGTTTGAGTAAGATAGGTGTTAGCTCTTCTCTAAATTTTTGGTAGAATTCAGCTGTGAAGCCATCTGGTCCTGGGCTTTTGTTTGCTGGAAGATTTCTGATTACAGTTTCGATTTCCTTGCTTGTGATGGGTTTGTTAAGATCTTCTATTTCTTCCTGGTTCAGTTTTGGAAAGTCATACTTCTCTAAGAACTTGTCCATTTCTTCCAAGTTGTCCGTTTTATTGGCATAGAGCTGCTGGTAGTAGTCTCTTATGATCCTTTGTATTTCAGTGTTGTCTGTTGTGATCTCTCCATTTTCGTTTCTAATTTTGTTAATTTGGTTCTTCTCCCTT